GGGGTGGAACAGGTATCAGTATCCTCATTTTATGACTGAGGAATCTTAAAGCCCCAAAAGGATAAAAGCGCACATAATATAAAAAACTTAGGACGTGACAGTGCCTGATTTCTGAAATTGGATCCACTTTCTCCCACCTTCTTGTGTTCTTTCTCTTTTTCTTTTAAAGGCTTTCTTTTTTTCTTTCTTTTTTTTTTTATGGAGGCAATATATGATCCCTGTTAAGTGTTATTAAATATATTAAGGTAGAATAAAATAGATAAATAAAATAAATTTTAAAAAGAAGAAAAGATGTATAATTCTACCACTTATAGATCGTTACTTGTCATCACCTTGATGTACGTCATCTTAGATTATTTTCTCTGCCTACAATAGAAATAAGTATAAATATGGTCTGATACTGCTCAACTTTTATAACATATTTTTTCTTTTTCTTTTTTTTTCACTGATCCACAGAGGGAAAAAAAGAGCTTTTAGAGCATGTTCTTTAAAGTTTTTTTAACCAAAGTAATATATGTGCAATAAATAGTTGAAAAAGTCAAAATAAAACTGCACATCTTACATCAAGAAATACTTGCCTTGCCCACCCTACCCCACACATGTTTCCACTCCAGAGAGGCAAACATTTCTAACTGTTAAAACTCTCTAAATAATGTGCTTATATTGCTGTTTGTTGATTTTTCAGGTTTAGATATTATGCCTTGTCTTTCCTGCTGTGTAAGAAGAGGGTTTAGTTTCTTGTATTTCTCTTCCCCATTTCTCTCATTCCCTTCTTCTTTTCTGCAAATATGGTTATAAGACTGTTTTGTGATGTAATTAAATGTTTAGTGATCATGTTTCTACAAGTATGTAAATATTAAAGCAGAGCCAGACCGTATAGGGTACTAGGATTGTTCTTCCTCTTGATTTAACTCTTTACTCTGGAGTTGCTTATTTGATTTATTTTTGTTTTAATTTGCTTAGCTGTTTAGGTTTCTATGCAGAGCTCTCTCAGAGAACAGTAAATCACATCTTGATCGATGTGCAAACATTATTACTTTTTTTTCCGGAGAGAAAGCCTCCTAGAGGCTCCCGTCCCCCTGCCCCCATCAGGACTGGCGGCTCTCCAGGGCTGCTGCGTGCTCTCCTCACCGCCATCCTGGAATTTCCCTACACCTCTCTCCTGAGTTGGATCCCCTGAGTTCCGGCTCCTGTGTCTTCTTCTGTCTTGGTTTACTGTGTCAGCTTCGTTGGATGTATCATCTAGTAGTGTCCCGAGACCACCTGTGTGCTTTTTACTCTACATAAGCCACACTATTTTAATGGGAAAGGAAATACATGTTGGTTTTGTTTTCAGATGAACATAGACCAAGAAAAGGGAGGGGTCCAACAATTCCCATTTTGCTTTGTAGACCCAGAATTATGGTCAAATTTGTTTCCTTTCTAGATTCAGTGAGTTATTTACCTTAAAAACTTTATCTGATTTATGTTGACCTTAATCACGAAATCTCGAAAAAAGAAGAAAAAAACTTCATTGGAAAATCCCAGCTGTGACTACTGAAGGAAACAGCATCATAAAGTTTGCTCCCTTTAAAGAAAAGGAGAACTTGAGCCCAGAAGCTTCAGCCCACCCACAGGTATGCAGGCGATGTGCAGATTGTCACGTGTACCTGGTCCAGCCCAGCCCCTTCTCAGGCTTCTGCCCTGTGCATGGCCTGTGGGCTGTCAGATGTGGTTTGGTACTTTGTTTGCTACATTTTCTCTTGTACAAAGTACAAGCCTTGGACAGGCAGGTGCTGGGGACTTTGCGGTGGCCTCAGCAGTTGTTTCCCAGAAGGCAGTGACTCATCACCGGAAACCCCCTTCCTTTTTTCTCTCTGACATTCTCTCAGCTTCCGGCCCCTCCCATCTGTGCGTGAGCTTTCGCATTCCTCACCCACAGACAGCAGCTTGCTGTGGACTTTGGTCACCAATGGTAACTGGAGATGGTTCTGGGAGTGAGAATGGAACACCTCTTGCAACAGCGATGCCCATGAGGGCAGCAGGCCCTTTCTCAACACCTTGGCGTCTCCCGGCTGAGACGTGTGTCTGTCTCCGATCCATGCCTCTGCAGAATTCTTTTCCCCATGTCCCTAACCGGAATGGACTGTCATATTTTACAAGAGGTAGATTTATTCTCTTTGCCCTTGCTCTAATCAGGGACTGCTTTTGCACAAGTCTTTTTCTAGAAAACCTGTATCACTATACATTTATTAACAGGTGTTCAATCGTGTTTTTAAAAACTTTTTATTGAAGTGTAGTTGATTTACAATGTTTCAGGTGTACAGCAAAGTAATTCAGTTATACATATACATACATATATATTTTTTCTTTTCAGATTTTTGCCCAGTGTGTTGTCATAAGAAATTGAATATAGTCCCCTGTGCTATACAGTAGGTCCTTGTTGTTTATTTTATATATAGCAATGTGTGTCTGTTGATGCCCAGCCCCTAATTTATCCCTCCCCACCCTTTCCGCATTGGTAACCATAGTTTGTTTTCCATGTCCGTGAGTCTATTTTTGGTTTGTAAATAGAATTTGTATCATTTTGTTTTAGATTCCACATATAGGTGATATCATATGATAGTGTTCAATTGTTTTTGATTGATGTGAGCTAAATTGAAGAGATGTTTGTGGTTGTCAATGCACTGTGCTACAGACGTTAAAGGTCTTGAATGGATAGACATTGAAATCAATCAGGCAATTCAGATTCCTACATGGTTATAGTTAAAAAGGACCGTAAAGATAATTAGTCTTGCTTTTCCGTTTATAGACAAGGATCCTGAAGCCCAAGAAATTACTTTCTCATGGTCGCCTAGCCAGGTCCTGGCCTCCGGGTCCTGGCCCTCTAGGGGCCGTCCATGCCTGCCTGCCGGCCCCGGCACTGCTCTCCCATTGGACTCCAGTCCCCACGTGCATCTACATCTCTTCATCACTCTCTGCACTTCAGGGTAGAGCCCTCAAGCTGGCGAAGTCCCTTTGCAGGTCTCACCTTCCTCTGTCACTGGTTTCCCCAAAGTGCCCCCATGGTTCCAGACTTCTCTCCAGATTGCACGCAAATTCAGAATGTTGACTTTGGTTTCCTTTGGCTGAGAATCCATGACTTCCCATGAAGAGGGTGTTTCAGAGTAATTCTTCAAAACTTTAATAGCAAAATACTCACTAAAGGAAATTTGGTGAAGACACAAACAAGTGTTTTTTTAAAACATTTTTGGTGTTTTCTTTGGACGTTTCCCTACTATACTTCCTTTCCAAGGACTAGGTTGCTTGTTTGATTTATTATAATCCATCATTTCACTCATTCAGTTTTGTATCCTGCTATTTTCCACTTGTGTTTTTTTAGTGCAACTTTATGACAGAAAAATTGGGAACAAATTCTGGTCTGCCTTTTAAAGAAATCTTCTGTGAGAACACCATCACCTAGTTAGAAAAGTAAGTGCCTCCACTTTTTGGTAGGGCAAATAACAAGGTACACATCCAAAGCTAGTTTATGGGGTCAGGAGACCCACTGTATGCATCCCCCACATCTTCCTGTCTTCCCCACTGCCCGTATGGGGAAGTTGGGGTTGAATCTCTGCCACTGTCAGTGGGGCACTGTGTTTCCTGATAATCTGTGAACCAGAACCCTTCTTCCACCATCACATCCACATTCAGTCCTGTCTTCTCATCTCCATGATGGTGTCAGCTTGGCCCCCCCTTCATGTTGACCTGTCTGCCATCTCTGATCTCTCGTTCATTGTAAGGAAGTCTGTGGTGAAATTAACTAGCTGTGAAGCCTGCACACCCTATAACTCTGTGAAAACAGCAACCAAGTCCTCCTGCATGTCTTTGATGTGTCTCTAAATCCCTAGAACGATGCCCAGTATATAGATGACACCTCATACATGTATGGTAAGCAAATACATGAATGAAGAACTCTAATTGTGGTTGCAGAATACTCTTCCTTTTTAGCAATTCAAAAGCAAAATCGTAATTGTGATGGGAACATTCTCTTCAGACCATTTCTGACCACAGAGGAAGAAACAAACTGAAGAGGAAATTGAGAGTCAAGATGACCTGAGTATTATTTTTTTTAAAAACACCTTTATTGTGATATGATTCCAGTACAATAAACTACACATATTTCAGATGTACAATTTGATAAATTTTGATAGATGTATACACCAATGAAACCACTACCACAATCAAAATAGCTAAAATTTCCATTACTCCCCAAGAGGTGCAAATTTCAAATTCCCAGTTTATCCCTTCATACTCCCTTTATCCCCTGTGACCATAAGTTTGTTCTCTATGTCTATGAGTCTGTTTCTGTTTTGTAGGTAAGTTTGTGTCCTTTTTTTCTTTAGATTCCACATATAAGTGATATCATATGGTATTTTTCTTTATCTTTCTGACTTACTTCACTTAGAATGACAATCTCCAGGTCCAACCACGATGCTGCAAATGGCATTCTTTTTTCCTTTTTTTGGCTGAGTAATATTCCACTGTATGTATATATGTGTATGTGTATACCTTCTTTTTTCAGTCATTTGTCAATGGACATTTGGGTTGTTTCCATGTCTTGGCTATTGTAAATATTGCTGCTATGAACACTGGGGTGCATGTATCTTTTTGAATTATATTTTCCTCTATATATATGCCCAGGAGTGGGATTGCTGGATCATATGGTAAGTTTATTTTTAGTTTTTTAAGGAACCTCCATACTGTCCTCCGTGGTGGCTGCACCAGTTTACATTCCCACCAGCAGTGTTGGAGGGTTCCTTTTCCTCTACACCCTCTCTAGCATTTATCAGTTGTGGATTTTTGAATGATGGCCATTCTGACTGGTGTGAGGTGATACTTCATTGTAGTTTTGATTTGCATTTCTCTGATAATTAGTGATGTTGAACATTTTGTCATGTGCTTCTTGATCATTTGTATTTCTTCCTTGGAGAATTGCTTGTTTAGGTCTTCTGCCTATTTTTTGATTGGGTTGTTTGTTTTTTGTTTTTTTGATATTAAGCTGTATGAGCTGTTTGTATATTTTGGAAATTAGTCCCTTGTCATCGCATCATTTGCGAATATTTTCTCCCATTCTGTAGGTTGTATTATTGTTTTGTTGATGGTCTGAGCATTATCTTGAGTAGGAATGATGTCCCTGGTTTCTCAGGTCTTTTTCTTCTTACCCCTCACAGCTCCCAGACCTTGGATGTTGCAAAAAACCTTTTTGTCATTTAAGAATCTTAAATGGCTGGTGTTTCTTTGTCCTCTCCCTAATTTTGAGGCAAAAAAGGTTTACTTCCCAAGAGAGGGGCTGCAAGCTCCACTCTAAGGGAAAGCCCAAATCTTCATAAACTTCCCTTCACACCTCAAAATCTTAGTCCCAAGGTAACCTTGTTAGAGATGTAAAATTACTTCTAAGTAGAAGAGTCCTCAGCTGTAAAAAAGAAGGAAGATCAATGATAGATACAACATGAATAAATCTTAAAATAATTTTGTGGTGTGAAATAAGTCAAACCAAACGGGAGTATATCCTGTATGATTCCATTTGTATAAAATTCTAGAAAATGCAAACTAACCTATAGTGACAAAAATGGATGCCTGGTAGGTGGGGTGGGAAGAAGTGAGAGGCAAGGGGGCAGAAGGGCACCAGGAAACTGGGTTGTGATGGGTGCACTCCTTTATTGTGATGGTGGTGGTGGTTTCACAGGTTTATGTGTGTGTCAGAGCTTGTTGAATTGTGCACTGTAAGTATGTGAAGCATATTGAGTGTCAATTATACATCATTAAGGCTCTTTTTAAAACTGTTTCCAGGAAACGGAGTCCTACCCCCTATGCTGTATCCGACTTCACTTACCAGCTTCCCTTAAAGGGTGCTCACACCCCGTGTTGGCCCAGCAGTGCAATCAGTCCTTTGTTAAGGTCAATACTGAGATTCCCTTGCTTCCAGAGGATTGCAGGTATTTTACTGGACCACTATTCCCTCTCAGTTAATTCCCAGACCCTCCTGAGGGCTATAGACAAGCTTGCCCTCTTTTCCTGTCTGTACCCATTTAGAAGACACCGCCCCACCCACCTTGGTTCCAGTGGCAGATTTTTGAATAGACAGCTGCCAGTTGTTTAGCTGGCATTTGCATTACTGCCAGCTTGGGCTGTGAGTCACCAGCCCAGTGATCACAGTTCTTAGACCTTTGACATGCTTTTCAAAATACCCAGTGGTTCTACATGGGAAGGCCTGGTACAGTGACCCACCAGTATTTGCCCCGGGCCTCTCTCCTTTCTTTCATTGCCCTCCAAGGTGCTTTAGAGCTGGGTAGTGCAGACAGATCTTCTTCCCAGGACGTCAGCATTATTCTAATATCAGAAATACTTCTAAAATCTAAGGAAGAAGCAGGCACGAGTCCCTGGAGTGTATAGAGGTGGGACTCGCTGAGATGTTGCCTGTTCTCCCTTCTTACAAGAGGTCCAGGCTCTAAGTGGCTAAGTAAGTAACAAACGCCGCAAGTTACAGCAGGGCTGCTTCCACCTGTGCGGGCCTGGGCACAGGGTAAGCAACTAAGAGAGTGTGTTTTGAAACTTTTATAGCAAAATGCTAGAATAATGTTGTGACTATTGATACTAATAATCAAAAAAAGTTAGGCTTGTATTTTATATGCCTTTTACTGAAAATTCTTTCTTAGTAATTCATTGCTATTTTACAAATGGTTTGGTTCGTAATGGGTTGGAACTTATATAAACAATAAAGTGGCCACAGATGAATTGGTATAATATAAAATATAATATAATGTTACAATCTAAAATATAGAAATAAAATATTAAAAATATAATATTATAATATAAAAATAAAGTACCACAGATCATTTGAGAAGTGTGGCCTCTGAAGGGCAGTTCTGGGCACCTTCCGTCCAGCATAGATGGTGGGGGGTCTGTGGAGAGATGGGGCCAGAGCCAGGGAGGAGGAGAGGAGGGCTCTCTGCTGTGTCTCTAGTTCCTTGTACTTTTTGACTCAAGAACACACACATCCCTGGGGAAGCACTGCACTGAGAGTAAGACCCAGAGTGGAGACGGAATTAAAGGGGACTGCAGTTAGAGGAGGGGCTAGAAATGGCAGGGGTGGCAGAGGAAATTGGGGTCATCACGTAGGATGATGATTTGGCAAATGTCCTTCACAATGGACCTTAGGAGCAGGTGGAAGAAGCAGCTGAGAAATAAAGCTTTGAGGCGAACCACAGCTCACACCTTAGTAGTCTGCAGTGAAGCCAGAATTGTGTGCCGCACTGAGGAGACTTACCTACAGACAAGATACTCATGTAACTGAGGAGGACGGGGAGGAGAGAGGCTGGCAGTCATTGCCCCGTGAGACATGAGAATTCACCGACGTTTTCCTATGGAGTTGCTGCCTGGAGAACTGGCCCTTTAGAAAGTAGAGAGGAAAGAGCACACTGGATAGATAACGCTTTCATGAAAAGAGGCTGGGTCAGAAAAGGGCTGAACACGAGATGGCATCATTATCTCTCTTAACACGGGGCAATCAGGTAGCTGAGAGGCCTCAGGAAGGACCCACAACTGAAGTCTTTAGCCCTGTATTTTAGAGCCGTACCTGCCGGTCCCTGCTGGTCCCTGCTCTGCTTTTGCAGTAAGTCATGGTGTGAGGTGCTGTGGAAGTTCCCTGGGGGCATGGAACAGCCCACCACCCTGCTTGCCTTTGAAGTGGTCGGCTGATAGCCCCCTCGCTGTCCTATATTCTGGAGATGTGGTTGGACCAGATGACATCTTCCTCTTGTTGTCTTTCTGACGTGACTCAGTACACGCGGTCACTTGTTGACATTGATGTACTTGTTGACTGAGAAGAGAGAATCAGGTTGGGTGGGTTCTGGCTCTTTACTATGAGAAGAGCTTTTGTGTCTCAGCTTTGGGAAAGAAAGGCAACACCCAGCGCTCTTGCTTTTTTGTTAAATTAGAGGGTGCTTTCTGCCTTATAAATTCTCCTGAAGTACATCCTGGCTTTGACTTGGTGATGACACATGCATGTGAGTGTGCCTGCCATGTGGCATGGTTTCTAGTCTAGAAGTGTTGGCGGTTCAGAAATCAGACCTTGGGTCTCCCGTTGGTTGGCGCCACACCGGGAGGTGGGGTCTACAGCGTGGTGGGCCGCGGTAAAGCAGAAGCAGGATCACACATGCAGCCACCTCTCCTCTTGTGCCAAATCCGGGTTTGTGACAATGCAGTTATAGTTACCTACTTTAGGGGAGGCTTTGCGGTGTCTGGACCCAATAGTAAAGGGTTTTAAAGAGACAAAGGAGAGCAAGAGTAACATGAGAGCCACTCTCAGATAACGCTTTAGAAACTTGTAAAGCCAAGCTCACACCTTCTGGGAATAAAGGGATTAATTCTCCTGACCCAAGAGGCTAGGCTGTGGTTCTAGGTCTTTACCTCTCCCAGTTTCCTGCCCTGAAATACCCAGAAACAGCCTAAAGTAAAATTCAACCCACAGTCACATCCACCTCCGGCCCCCACCAAATTTATAACCTGGTTAGCTAACAAGATTGGCCCAGTAGGAAACAGTGTTAGTAAGCACTAGATTACGGCAAAGATCACAAGTAATAGAGGTGTTTCAGGAAAGAGGGATGGATGTGGGTCTGAAGAATCAGAGAAGGTGCCTGGAAAAGTTGAGCTTGGACTGGCACTGAGTCCTTCTCTCCTTTGGAATCAGGTGAAGTTTGAGTCCTGGATTTACCAGGACTGATGTTGGACAAGTATATATATCTGGGCCCCAGGATCCTCACCTACAAGGTGGGGAAAATAACAGCCAGGTCCTAGGCTTTCTGTGACTGCCCTCCCTTCACTTCCGTGGCTGCAAGGGGTTCCTTCTGAGATGAATTCCTGGGAATGGCTCACCGATTTGGACACAGAGCCTAGATCTGCAAGGCTGCTCTTTCTCCCTGTGGGGAGTTTGTGCTACAAATAAATCATGAGTTGATAGCTGCTTTCCCTAACTCTGCATGCAGTTGCCCTGACTGGGCTAAGTCATGTCTCTCTTGAACCAGAAACTCCAAGACAGAGCTTGTACCAAGAGAATCTTTGCCCACTTGGAGAAAACACCAGAGTTTTCAGTATTGATGCTGATAACAAGTTGTTGAGCAGTTCAGCATCCCTCCCTAGCCTCTCCTCATTTGTCAATATTTCCTAACTTTACACACATAGGAAGTTATAAGATCCTAGCTCTTAAGATCTTGCCCTGGAGTGCAGTTCATTCTGGAAAAACAGGCTTAGGAATATGATGCTTTAAAAATTTTTTAATCAGGAAGAAATCGGCCATGGAGGGAGAGGAAATACAGCACGATGGAGAAGAGCATGGGATCTGCATCCGAACTACCTGGACTTGCTTCCCAGCTCTGTCAGTTTACCAGCTATGTGATTTTGGGTAAATTATTTAACTGCTCTGTGCCTCAATTTACTCATCTGTTAAATGGGAAAATAATAGTGCACACCTCATAGGGTTGCTACAGTGAGTAAGTGCGTTAAAATATATGTAAAGCTTTTAAAGCAGTAAGTGGCCAAATGGGGGAGATGAAAGGTTTCAGACCTTGAGGGATGCTGGGCCCTAAAGAAGAGGGTCCCACGAGAGAGCATCACTCATGGGGCGTGATGAGGGGTGATGGGAAGCGTAGAAAAAGAAGCGTAGGAAGGTAGAAGCCCAAGTGTCAAATCCTAATAAGACGGCCCAGGTACAACCACTGACACTGAAAATGCCATCAGAGAGCCCTTTTCAAATGCGACAGTCCACGTTCTTGACTCTGGGATGCCTGGATACAGCCTCTCTGCCAGCCTGGTTTAAGCCTTGTTTTGGTGTTTTGCTCACATGGGACTAGTCAATAACAGGTCCTTTGTTCTGTCTCCTGGACCTTTAGGTGCCACTGTACGGACATGTCCAGCTTGGCAGGCAGCTGGCATCTTAAGGATGCAGGTTATCAGATGGACACTCATGAGTCCCTCCCCGCCTGGCGGCATGTGCTGCAGCGCACGTAGGCCCACATACCTCATATCTCTGCCCGGGCAATTAGATCCCAGCCACCCTGCCCCATTCCAAGGCAGCGGAGCCAGCTGGGACATGGTACTTGGGGTGGGAGCCAGGTATTTTTCCTCCTTTTATTCTTTTTGATTCCATAAGCATTTTCTTCGAAGCTTGGGCTCTAACTGCAATGTCCAACATGGGAAAACAAACCCAAAAGGCAGGAACTGAGCTACATCTGCTTGTAGGGCTGCCTTTTGCTGTTCTGAAATGAAGCCAAAAGGCACAGCCTCTGCCCTCCAGTACAGGAAACCTGGAAGCAGCGCGTCCTTTCTCTAGTGCTGCCTGCCCTGTGCGTACATTGCATGGACCTACGTGTTAGTGGTATGCTGTCCGGTCTGATGTTCAGTTCTAGATTTAAATATGAGTGTGGGATTCAGAGTTCAAGTAAAATGCACGTCTGGGTCTGTTCTCTTGGTCAGACCCCAGGATTTGCAGCCCACCCAGCTGGTCCCCGAAGCTGGCTTCTTGCATCAGAAGTGATCCTGCGCAGTTCTGATGACTGATACTTTATGACAACTCACCTGGGTTTGGGAAATCTCCCTGCTAATGTTCCCTATCTCAGCAGAGACAGCCATATTTGAATACTAACAATTGGTATCATTTACTGTACACATGCTACGCCCTAGGAAGCCTGCTAAGGGCTTTACATAGTGATTTCCCACAGTCCCCCCACCAGTACTCCAGTGGAGGTAGTATGGTCAGCTCTGCCTCATGTGTGAGGATACAAAGATGCCTTGAGGTTAGGTGACTTGCTCAGGGCCACCCAGGCAGGAGGTGGTAATGCCAGTATTTGAGCCAGGCGGCCTGATCCAGCACCCTCTTGCCCACCATAGTGCCTGCTGCTATGGCATCTCTCTGTTTATGCCTCTCCAAGGGTTAGACCTGTGCCTGAGACTGATCATCCTCATTGTTATCATCAGTCTTATCAGCCCGCAGGACACAGAAGCTTCCACCTATTTGGCACTTTTGGCTAATTTGCTACATCCTTGATGTTTGGGATAATAATACAAATAGTGAGTTATTTCCTCACTGACTTCTGCTATTTTGATTCAATAAATATTCAGTGAGCATTTAGTTTATGCCAGGCATTATACTAGATCTGGTAAAGAGGGGCACTATAGGGCACTTGCTTTCAAAGAATTTTCACTCTAGAAAGAGAAATAACCTTCCCAAATTCCCAAGATGGCCCACAGGGCCTTCCAAAATGGGTGCTGCTTTCGTTTTCAGTCTCATTGCTCCGTGTTCTCTGCCTCTGTGTCCTTTGGTTTGTTGAGCTTCCTTCCACTTCAGGGCCTTTGCACCTTCTGTTCCATTAGCCTGAAATACTCCACACCTTTGTCTGATTACTTCTTCTTCATCCTTCAGGTCTCATCTTAAATCATTCTTCTATAGGGGATTTGCTCTCCATTCCATAAACTAGGTCAGGTTCTCCCACTTACATCTGATCATAGCTCCTTCTGCTTTTAATTTTTGTAATTATTTGATTAATCCAGCAGCTCCTTAAAGACATCAGTAATTCTGTTCTCATTCATCACTGTATTCCTGGCATATAGTAGTTGCTCACTAAATATTCTGAAGCGAATGAAGATTATACATTATTTATTAAAGCAAAAACTAAATATGAAAACGAATATATGTATGTATATGCATGACTGGGATATTGTGCTGTACACCAGAGATAGACACATTTTAATTGACTGTACTTCAATTAAAAAATAAATAAATAAAAAACTAGAGTATGTTAGTCCCCAGTCCTCCAAGAAGCAGACACCAAAACAGAAGTAAATGTGCCAGGATTTTATTAGCAGGAAAGCATACAGGAAAAAAAAAATGGTGAGGGAGCCAGAGGAAGCTGGAAGACTCATCGGACTGATGCAAGTCTCATCCTAGAGTGAAGAAGGGACGTAAGGAGGATAGGAATGACCATCGTATGCGTTCTGGGGCTGGCTGCGTAAAGTTCAAAGAGGCCATGGAGCTGATTGGCTGCTAAAGTTGAAGGTCAGAGAAGAACTCCGTCTCTCAGAGACAGTGCCCTCATTGGCTGGGAGCACCGTGGGAGGCATGGCCTGGCAGCTGGAGCGTGGAGTTCAGAGCGTGGCCGCTGGGGGCGCTCTTCAGTTACGCTCTGGGGAGGGGAAGTCTGGGGGCTCCAGGTAGCAGTTCAGAGGCTAGAGGAGATGACTTCTGGTTTATAGGAAGGAGAGCAATTACCAATGGTATGTCTTCCACAGAAAGGCAGAGAATCTTAATTTTGAGGGTCAGCAAGTATTTATTGAACACCTACTGTTCTTTGACACTGTGGAAGACACTATCGGATCAACCATACCCGGTCTCAGGAAGCTCATCAGCTCACTAAGAGACAAAGTGAACTCACATGCATCCTCCTGAAACTCAGTTTCCTTGTCTCCAAAATGAAGGTAATTCCTCCTACCTCGTGTAACATGTAACAGATACAGTGGCTTCCGTGAATGGTATAGGTGGCCAACAAATACGATTTGAATATGAATTTTAAAAAATAACCATTTGTTGTCTCCCCTACTTTTTCAGCTTTGCTAGTCACTTTAGTTGGGCTGAAGTTTTTTAAGTTTTCGAAGAAACTTTTGGCTTAGGATATGTGCTTTCCTTGTAATTACTCTCATTAACAAGTCCCCTGAGGCTTTTTCTTTAAAAATATTTCAAGTAAAAGAACCGCAGTTT